ATGCAGGCCAACTCCCCTGGCCATTCATTTCCACTTATTTGGCTTAAATTTTACTAATTTTTAATCCCGCGTTGGTCGTCTGATGGAGACTGCAGTATGCCTGACGCCCAATCGTCACCGTACCTTGAACAGAATCTTGTTCCCTTTGAGGATAACCGTTGGCCTCGGTCCGTCCGTTAGTCTGCCCAGACTGGCGTACTTGACGAATGGGGTCGTCATGAGCCTGACCGTGACGTTGTGCGCCGCTGCTGTGGAGTTGGAGTCGTGATGAAGGTCTACATTGAACGTCACCATTTCCCTGGAATAATACTTCAATTACTGTACTAGAAAAATGATGGTGCTATTTCGGAGTGCTATCAAAGAAAGAGATAATGTGTAGGATCATCTGATGTTGATATCAGTTACATACAATGTATCAATGAAAAATTAGCGACCAATTTTGATTTAGTGTTGGCGATACATTTAGACGGCAGAGAGAACATACTTTGAATGGCGGCGATCCTGGTGTAAGTGGGTCAAACTTGCAGTACGATCTTACTTATCTTGTAACTGATGTGTTACGTCTAAACGGTGTACTGATATATGCGAAAAGAAAAACAAAGCTCCCACCCCCTGCCGAGGTCACCAGAGTCGGTGACAGAAGCGTCCAGTGTCAACACAGGTTTGTCCCGCGGTACCAGGGTAACGGGAAGGGCGCCCGTCCATATCACACTGTCCAACGTGATCTCAGCACCGACCTACATGTGTACATAGCGAGAAGCAAAGCTCATGAGTATTTTTATGTCTGCCTTCACGGAAGGAAAACTATTTTTGCTCCGTTTCTTCTTCTTCTTCCATTCTAAACGAATAAGGTCCCGATGCTGTCACCATGTTAACTGGTGCTGTAGCAGACACCCTGTGGTGTTGGATTACATCATGTAGCAAGTGGCTGGTCACCATATATGTGAATGTATTTAATTAATGATTTTGAACCTCGTTTATTCACCTACGATGGAATGGTTGAATGGTTCATTGTAGGAGATTATGCTTAATAACAACAATTACACAATTACAATGACAGGTACGTGCAGCCCGGTTCTCTTAACAGTTTCTATTCTAGGTTTAAAAGTTGGACAGTAAACAGAGCATACCCTCGCCCAGAGTTCCATTGGAGCAATGAATCCTTCTTCGTTTGTGAACTCATATCCAACAGCGATGTTCAGAACGTTGTCTCCGGTCCCAAGGACGGAAATATCAGTCAGTTCCAACATCCAGCGATCGTCCTGTAAAATGAGAAAAAGAGCCAGCCACTGTCTTATCTGGAAACAGCATTGAGGATACCTGTGAGTCTGTGACATTAATGTCTGTCTGCATCTTGCATTTTGCGGTGTTTTATCACGAGACAAAGCTAAGGCTTGGCATAAAGACGTTTTGCTTCTTCGATGAAAGATACCACATTAACTCAATGATCAAGGCTTTTCTTTCAGTTACATGTAAAGGTGTTCCTTATTGTAGCACAGGTCAGACGAAGCCAACGCAACAAGGAAAGAGGAGGAATCCCAGAAGTTACCTCTTTTGTGATCGGTAAAACGCTCTGGGAGGAAGTGCTGTTCCATCCAAATATCCGCAAGTTGTCGCCAACGTTGGTGAGAGTGAGGTGTGTGAGGGACAGTGGTACGATAGAGCCGATCGCGGGGCGATAAACTTCAACTTTGGTCGTGTCGTAGTTCAGGCGTGGGAACACCACGGTGACTGTCATCTGAAATACGGGGAAGGAATTGTCACAAGAGGTGAGCATGTAACGTTAACACGTGCGGTACTGCAGCAGTGGAGTCCAGAACTTTATGTCGTCTTTGTTACAAAACATTTCGTTTGCAAACAGGACAGAGACAACAGGACAAATCCTTTTCACCGGCAAGCCCCTGTCCAGCCTGAAGCAATAATAACGATACATGACAAAAGAGTCATAACCACAAAACAAATACGAAAAAAAAACTTACGTTGATCTTCTCACCAAAAGTCAGATTGCCCTCCCTCTGCCAGGACGTGTTGAACGTGGGGAGGGCGCCGACTGTACCGAACTGTGTGGTGTTGGCGTTCGGATAAACAGGTCCCAAAACCTGCTCCAGCCCGTAACCTCTCACCGTGTACGTCACGTTTATGTGTAAGGAGAGCCTCTGTCCGTAGACCAAGGAGTCTGAAGAGGGGACACAGAAAATACAGTGAACCAAACATCAAGGAAAGCTCAAGAAACATCGTCCTTACAGGCATTTCAAGTTCGCTGACACTTAAACTTTTGCAAAGCTTACCACTTGTATGAAATGTGCACTTCATATTTGAGAGACGTTAAAACGTTAAAGATTATCATTTATCATCCTTTCAGCTTGGTGAGAAAAGATTTGAAAATCGCATACCTTTGACTTTCCCGGTGATATTACCGTTCAACTCTAGTAGACCTGTACTATCAGAGACATGGACAGAACCCAGGTCCTAACAACACGGAAAGAAAATAAAGGAACCATCAATGGATCTACTGATTTCCAGGTCCTGTCGTAACTAAGCCCAACTTGTACAAGTGAAAAAACTTTCAACGTAGCAAAACAGACGTATTTTCCAGGACACATGCAGGACTATCCCTAGATTGTCCTCAGTTTTTTTTTTCATTCCAACAGTTGTTTTTATGCCGCCACCAACACGGGACAATACAATAGAATACTCATTTTCACCTGAGCGAATGCCCTCAGTTTGCCATCGTACGACGATCACAGGACGTATGTTCCCGGACCCTTACCTCGAGTTGGTCTGAAATGAACAGGAATGTGACGTTGGCCAGCGCTTGGCGTTGATTCTCGCCTGACATCAGGGTGAGGTTGTACTGCATGGTGACGTCATCCCCTCCTTGGAACCGGTCTGTGGAGCCGCCCAACGTCCGGAACTCCCAGGCCAGCTGCACGGGAGAGCCTGGACAACGGTTTAGGTTTTCCTTTAATGCCCTGGTATACTCATTTTCACCTGACTGACGTGCGGAAAGTCGTGTGGTATCCCATCCCAAGGGCACGAGGTGGTGACTTGGAAGGATCCAAGCCCAGGACCTCTTGGTTCGGAGCCGAATACTCTGTCGTTACGCCACGAAACATCGATTTCAGACTCTCTTCAGACGATTTTTAATTGTATTTCTAAACCCTTTACTAGTTCAGTTCATAGAAGCAGATTCAGATTTGTGGACTTTAAAATAAATAAAAAAATAAATAAAAATAAAAACAAAAAATAACTTCAACCATGTAACCTCATGTGCCTACTGTAACTTTAACTCAAACTTACATTGTCGATACAAAGCGGTGAATGAAAAGAGGCCATCGGGATGATTTGAGTGTTTCATTAAGAAACAAAAGTTGAGACTTACTGCAGTTGAGATCCGAGAAGACCACGTCCATGTGCGGCGTGACCTGCGCAGTAGCCCAGTCTATGACGTTGCCCATGCCCCCGCCTCCGTCTTCGCAGCGGCGGTAGAACTCCCCCATCTCCTCCGACGACAGGACGCGGTCCCACACGTTGAAGCGTGTAACGTCCCCTCTGTAGGCCTGGTGGACAAAATACATACACTGTTAGTCATCAAAGGCCTGTACGCAAGGGTAGGTATCAGTGGGACAGTGGGGTGCAAGCACCACCAATTCAAGGGGCTTAATTGGGATCTGGCGCCACTAACTTAACACCTTTTGGCCTAGCGGTTACAAGTGAGTTTGTTGGGTTCTTGAGCTGGCGGTTTTCGGCGTCCTGGGACCCAGGGTAGACTCGACTACTCGCTCCTAGTAGTTTCAGGTTCAGGCTCAGTTACCGTGATAGCTATGAGATTGGCTGTGGGCAGAACGAGCTGGACATCACTGAACACTCTTTTTCGAAGAGTGTAATAAGTGCGTTTTTTAAAGTCTGACAACAAAAGGTGTACTATCATCCACTCATGTACATGTGTTTTGTCTTAGCTAGGTGTTAAGACTAGGGCTCCAAACGTGACAAATGGTCACCAAGATGTTGGCTTGTAAGATTCTTGGTTGCGGAGAAAATTTGTAAACGTTAACCTCGTCCACTTCGAAGCGCCCCCTGACCCTATCCTGCTCCTGTCCCAGGATCCAGGCGCCGTCGTTGTTGACCAGGTAACCGGTGCTCAGCCCGGACCCTCCCGCCGCCTGTCGCCCGTCCAGGTACACCGCCCAGTCCCCGTCTTCGCTCCGCCAGGTCACGCACAGCCCGTGCCAGGTGTGCGGTCGGATGGGGAGGGGGAACCGATCGCCCTGGGGACCACCGACGACCACCTGGGTAGAACAAGTTTTTCAAAAGTTTACCGAATTATTCAAACAATGTTATACCGGCTATACAGATACAGAAGCTGGCGTGTTACCTCTGAAGAGCGGTTATACCGACATGATACAGATACAGATGCTCGTGGGAAACGCCGAAGGCTGGCTGTACAGGTACAGATACAGGTGCAGATGCAGAAGGTGGTGTTACACCGAAGGGCGACTATGCCGACTATACAGACACAGCAAGGAGTTTTTTTTTATCCAACATCTCATGACTGGACATGGTGACGGCACACTCAAGTTATATCAACTTATTTTATACCGTCACTAGCGCAGAGTACAAATACGGAACAGGACAATGCTCATTTTCACTTTGGTTAAGTGAGGAAGGTCATGTAAAGTGCCTTTCCCAAGGGCACAAGATCGGTGGCATGTCAGGACTCGAACCCGGGACCTTTGGGTTCCAAGTCGAGTACTCTGCCGCTACGCCACACGCAAGGAGGTTTGATTTTACCTTGTACGTGTCTTCGCTATGTCTCCCAAACAGACACAGCGCATTGGCTGATGCCGAGGTGGCGTAGCTGAAGAACGTGCCGCTCCTGTGACCGGGAACCCGGACGTCCATACACGCGGTGACCGCGGACAGGGGCTCGAACGCGGCCGCGTGGACTTCCGCGTAGTTCTCGGTAGACAAGACCGCGGGAAAAGTCATCTTCAGTGCCCCTAATGGCTTTGTACCTGGTATAAAGAACAGAAAGGTGTTCTTTAAACACTTGAAGAATCAGCAATAGAATATTGTGAGTATGCAATTCGATCTCATGATCTTTCTTCAAATCGTATTCTATTTGATCGCGTCCAAGATGCTACCAAAAACAAAATATATTCGGCGTAAGGCGAAGATCGACCCCTACCGTAGGCATCCAAAAAGAACGACCCCAAGATACAGTTACACGGGAATTCGTCCTCTGTTCCTGCATGATGGTTATACAGGCGAACCTGTGGAAGATGGGCGATATAGTTAGCTCAGGTGGTGTGAGGCATAGATACAGGGCATACAAAGTCTAAAAAAGGCCACGTGTAAAGATTTAGTAATTACTTAATGCATTTTGTACTAACCTGGTCTAACGCCACACTGTCGTTACCCTCAATCTTCAGTTGAATCATCTCCGCACGGCAGAAGTCGGCGCCCTGAAAATAGTGGACTCGGGTCCTGGTAGAATTGTCAGTTATAAAAAAATATTCAGTCAAAGCCAAGCAAATAGTGTGTCTTCATCATCTACATGTGTTTGAGATTCGCAGATGCTAATCATCCTTCATCCTACGAATGGCTAGTAGAAGTGGTGCTCTGTGGCTGATATGTCTTTGGGTGTTTAGTAATTTGTGTAGGACAGACAATGAATCAGATGTATACGACGGCCAGATTAACATCTTTTCATACCCGTACATAGTTTCACCAAGGTTCACAACGCCGTAAATGAAAGAAGGGAAGTATGGAGCAGTATACACACACCTGGTATCTTAGCGATCTTGGTTGATAACGTGAAATTTTGGAGAAGTCTGCTTACTCTACTTACTTACTAAGTCTACTTACTGTCCGCTAACGAACTGTCCCGGCACGCTTGTAGACACACACCAGCCGCCACAGACGGAGGAGTAGATCAGTACTGTCACGCTGTCGGAACTAGCTGCACTCACGGGGTCACTAACGTCAAAGGATAGTCTGTGCACTGTACAGTGGGGGGGGGGGGAATTGCAATTTATCTCTGTCTAGAAGTACAGTACCTGTGATCGCAAACTGAAAACAGTCATGCATGCATGTGTCCTTAAAAAGGCAAAGGTAGTCCCATAGTTTCAAGACCTAATGGCAGTAGGTTCTTAATCCAGTGTCTAGGGCATAGTATTGTAATGTGGAGCCCATCCTTCTCCTTACCGTGATCTCCTTTCGGCCATTCAAAGTCAGGTAACCAGTGTATACATGAGTGGAGTGAGGAGAGTCGTGTAAAGTGCCCGAGGGCAAAACGTCTCTTCTCTGCGCGCGCCTAGCTGTTCGACTCCACAAACATACACAGGGACTTACCAGCCAGGATTCCACGGAACTGCACGGCTGCCACCCAAGGCTGCCAGCCCGTCTGTGTCTCCGTGATCAACAGTCTCCAGTACCTCGCTGTCGCCGAGAAGCCTCCGAACTCCTGCCGCTCGTTGGAACGTCCAACGTCGACGGCCAGAGCGTCCGTCCAGGCGTACGGGTCCGATCCGCTCGACCCCTGCAGCGTGAACTGTTTCACGTCGTGAGTGAAGTCTCCGCTGCTCTGGACGCGGAGTTTAGACAGGGTGTACGGTATCCCCAGGTCGAAGATGATGTACCAGTTGTCGCTCACACCTTGCGGGTTCCAGTACGTGGTTGTGTTGCCGTCCAGGACCCTGTCCGGCCCGAACGCCACGCCCTGCGCGTCCACGTAAGTATCGCCCGACGCTTCGACTACCCAGTCTGCGTCGTTCGACAGCCAGGTGCCTGTGGAAGGACGGCGATTATACATGTAAATACATGGAATACACAGTGGCCTTGAGTCAATTGTGAGTTAACGAGGGATGATATACATACATACATAAAGTGAGTGAGTATTATAGTCTAGGCGACTGGAGAAAATTACAACAATTGCTCAAACAGAAAACTATGGAAGTAGCATGAAACTTGGTCATCAGTAGCTCAAGTTACACAGCACGAACACACCTGCACTGGACGGCGGTGTTGTAGGTTCTTCTGTCGTTACTACATCGATGGCTGTGGAGAATGAAGAAAAAGTGTGTTGTTACACAATTCATTAATATTGCCCATTACAATAGTAAGTCAAGTACTTGTTTCCCTAATAAAGAAGTTGACAGAAGTGTCGGACATAAAATCCCATTGGTTGTTGAGTAAAACACCTACAGTCTCTTGCCATCCCGAAAGTTAGTCACGACTGTTTTACCTTTTTGACAAATGTAGTACTTTTGTTCGGTGCAAGCGAGGTCGTCCCAGGTTGCGCCCGGTGTGTACAGTTGTCCGCAGTTCTGACTGGCATGATTGGGCTCCCCTGGGTGCCAGTTGGTATAGCCCACATCGGTGTCATCGGACCACTGCCACTGTCCTTGGTGCTGAAAGTGAAGATGTGTGGAATATCCACGTTATTTAACTATTTTTCTTCTAAAATGATCCGTATGTTGTCACTATTGCAACGCCCATGCAAGAAACCAGTCTCTAGTCGCGTGGTAACAGGCGTTAGGCCCAGGAGTTTTTGTTGAATTGAAGGCTTTTCTAAGTTGGTCAGACGGCGCACTGCGGGTGTCCTTTCCTTAGCCTACCGCCCATGGTTGTAAACCATCAACCTCAAACTTTTCTCATGCGGAAAATAATCAAATGCGCGCGTGTTACAACAATGAATGGTGAAAGAACGAATGCTTTATGTACGGAGGATCTTTTTCGTCAGACCACTGGCACTGTCCTTGGTGCTGAAAGTGAAGATTGTCATGTGGAATACCCACATTATCTCTTTTATTTATTTGTATCCTCTAAAATCATCCGTATGTTATCACTAATACAACGCTCATGCAAGAAGCCAATCTGGTCGTTATGTCATAATGTGCTTGTGTCATAACAGGGTGATAGCACGCCATTTTTTGTTATGTACTAAGATCTTTTGCTTTTCCCTAGGGTCCTGCTTGAATATTAGAAAATAAGGCCTATATGCCTTATGTATTCAGTGGTGATCTATTCTTTAGCGGAAAGTACAAAGAACAATCTGACGTACGTCGTAGTCATGGAGACCCATCCAGAAGGCTTGCCCCGGAAGCGCGCCTCCCGCCAGATGCACCAGGAAGCTGTTGACGTCCTGCGTCTTGCTGTCAGCTAGGTGCGCGCCGAACGTTGCGCAAGCGGCTTCCGCAGTGGCGTGGTCCTTACGGCTGCCGTGCACCGTGTAGTTCTGGCCGTTCCACTCACCGCTGGCCACCGTGTCGTCGCCTGGAGTTTTGTAATGTAGAGAGATCAATGTGTAGTTTTTTAAAGATGTAAAGTTTACACCAACGAGGGAAACATACATGTACTAGTAATTCGTAGGAAAAATGCCGTGTCTCTGATTTCAATCCTGAAAAAATAGTTAAGGATTCTATATATTTTTCGGCTGAAATGATCCAGCAAATAGTTTAACAAACTTATTATGCATCAGGACCAGGGCTGTTTCCAGGCCCCGTCACACAACACAACACAGCACAGCACAATATTAGGCCTATGCCGGGTGACCATCCTACGGGTTTGACATAGGGGTGTCTTACCGGTCCAGTTTTGGCTTCTTTCTGACGGCCAATTTTTCTGACTCTGTCTTTTTCTATGACCACCTACCAGTGTTGCCGACCACGAAACCGCCAAGTAGCGCACCAAGAGCGACCACGCTCAGCGGGTTGAGGGTTTTGACGACATAAAACGTCCTCATATTGATGGCTTTCCTCTTGACCCAATGTCAATGTTGGATGGCAATGCAGACATGGGAATGTCCTGTTGTTCAAAGCAGCCATGAAAGCTAGTCTGGCAATTTGGTCTCCGACACCGATCCATTGGGCGCTTTGGGTGTAGATTCTATAGTAAATTCTGTTTTCAGAGACACATTTTTATGATATGCACATACCTAAAAAGACTTCTTACAAAACGTGTTTTCAGGTTGGATAGTGTCTTCATTGTCATCGACGCGACACACGTATAATCCACGAACAAAACCGGTATTGCAGCAGTTTATCATCCAAATCCTTCATTTAACAATACTCTTCTTTTAGCAGGAGACATATGTTTTTGTACGGTGGCGACGCGTGAGAGCAAAGACTCCTTAATTACGTTTACAATGCACTGTCGCAAATTGAGTCACCCCTTGACGTCAGGTGTACAATGGGTAAAATCTACCGTCCGATAATGTCTACCTCCAAACGGGCGAGCCAGATATTTATGTCATTGTGAAGAAAATGTTAGTCCTTTTTAGTCTTTGTAATTTTGGATTCTGTAGTTTTTGTGTACAAACGGAAATCAAACGTTTGTTTAGTTATTGAACGTATATTTTAGAATTACGTCTTATTTAAAACAATCTTGTCTGTTGGATTCTGTCTTGTCTATCAAAAGATCTGATTGGAGATCAGCAAAAATTATCAGGTGTAAAGTGATACCTTCTTGCTGACAGATGAATCCCCTATTGTAGTTGCAGTGTCTAGCATCCCACGAAGCCGAAGTCGAATAAAGCGCAGCGCACTCGCTCCCACTACCCGGTTCGTTCGGGAGCCAGCTGGAGTAGCCAGTCAGGTAGTCGCCGTCTTCAAATTCCCACTGGCCGTCCAGGTCTCTGTCGGTCAGCCCCAGCCAGCGGCCGCCTGTTACCGGTGCCAGAGTAGCGAGAAACTCGTTGGTCGCACTGTCCTTCGGCATGGCGAGCATCGCGCCGTCTGCCACACACGCATCTCTAGCCTGTGCGCGATTATTCGAACCAGTAAAGCTCTTGTAGCAAACTCCGTTGAAACTCGCGTAGTCTGCTGGGCAGCCTCCTCAAAAAGGAGAGAGAATTTGTAACTTACTCGCGGCACTGTTGTTGTGTAGTATATTGCTTTAAATGTTTCCATGAAAACAAGGGTTCAAAGGTCTCGTGCAAGTTTTTGGACCATGTAACTTTATATGGACAACGACAGTAGTGGAGTTTTTAATGCGGACAAATCGATATGCACGTGTATTTGCAAGCAGTAAAATATAGAGAAACGTGCAAAACATACATGTGCGGCCTATAGGGAAAATGTTACGTTTCTGATTTCAGGCCTGAAAAAGATACGATCTTTCTTCTGACATAAAATTTTTCTGACAGACTCTGTCTTTTTCCGTAACCACCTACCACTGTGACCGGCAGCGAATCCGCCAAATTGCGCGCCAAGAGCGACCAGGATTAGCAGATGGAGGGCTTTGACGACACAAGACGTCCTCATATTGATGGCTTTCCTCTTGACCCAATGTCAATGTTGGATGGCAATGCAGACATGGGAATGTCCTGCTGTTCAAAGGAGCCATGAAAGCTAGTCTGGCAATTTGGTCTCCGACACCGACTCCTGATGGCGACGCTTTGGCTCTGGATTCTGTAGTAGATTGTGTTTTCGGAGGCTCCTTTTAAGACATTGTATCAGAACTAATGACCGATTCATTGTATACACAAATATCCATTATGACAGGCACATACATGAAAAGTCTTTTTACAAAACGTGTTTTACATTTCAGGTTTTGTAAAGTGTCTTCATTGTCATCTACACGACACGCGTTTTATCCACGAAGAAAAACGGTATTCGCGCTCATAAAATTTTCAGCAGTTGAACATCCAAAGCCTTGCTTCAGAATGATTTTCCGCTGGCAGGAATGCAATGGAGAGCAAAGGCCTTTTCACGTTTTCAATGCGCTGTCGCAAACTGAGCCGCCCCGTTGACGTAAGTTGTACAATGAGTAAAATCTGCAGTCCGATAGTGTTCACCTCCAAACGGGCGTAGCAGATATTGATGTCATTGTGAAATAAGCTTCGCCTTTTTAGTCTTTGTAATTTTTGATTTTGTAGTTTTTTTTTTGTGTACAAGCAAACGGAAATATTCAAACGTTTTTGAGTTATTGAAGAAATATTTCAGAATTACGTCTTATTTAAGAAATACTGTCTTGCCTACTGTATACTGTCTTGTCTAGTATCAAAAGATCTGTTGGAGACCATTATTAGTTGTAAAGCAAAATTATCAGTTGTAAAGTGATACCTTCTTGCTGACAGATGAATCCCCTAATGTAGTTGCAATCTCGTGAATGCCACGAAGACGTACTCGAATAAAACGAAGCGCACTCGTCCCCGCTGTCCGGTTCACTCGTCCGCCAGCTGGAGAAGCCAGTCAGGTAGTCACCGTCTTCAAATTCCCACTGGCCGTCGATGTCTCTGTCGACCAGTCCCAGCCAGCGCCCGGATACTACCGGTGCCAGAGTAGCGAGAAACTCGTTGGTCGCGCTGTCCTTCGGCATGGCCAGCATCCCGCCGTCTGCTACACACGCATCACTAGCCTGTGCGCGATTCTTCACTTGAGTAAAGCTCTTGTAGCAAAGTCCGTTGAAACTCGCGTATTCTGATGGGCAGCCTGCTCAAAAAAGAGAGAGAATTTGTAACTTACTCGCGGCACTGTTGTTGTGTAGTATATTGCTTTAAATGCTCCAATGAAAACAAGGGTTCGAAGATCTCGTGTAAGTCTTTGGACCATGTAACTTTATATGGACAACGACATTTGTGTCTGTTTGTCAGTAGTAGAGCGCATAGCCTGGTGCACATAAAGAAATGCTTCTTCATGACTGACAACTGGTCGTAGCATTTTATCTATTTGTTTACTAATTGGAGTTCTCTCTTCACACATGTGGATGGGGTGAGAGACGTGAACATGTCATATTCGTTCTTTATTTATGCGCAAATGTGTGCATGGTCACTCAGCGGCCTCTTGTAGAAAAGGGCCAGTCAGTCTACGTGTGCATCCCATGACTCCATATCTATGTATTTAGGCCAATATATATGTAGCCCTTTAGAAAAGAGAGAATGGTGACAGACAGAAATGTTTGATGTACATTATGCCAATGCGTCATTCACGTCCATATTTCTGTAGCCATAGTTTCTAACAATAGACTAGTATTATTGTAATTATCACATTGTCATTGTTGCCATACATTGTACCCTGTACAACTGTTGAGCAATAAAGATCATTCAGTCCTCACCTGATGTTCCACGCACCAGGTACACCACACAGACGGCAACAGCGGCGGCTGCGAGCCGCTTTCCCCCACCCATCCTTCGGTCCCGCTGGAGCCAAAGTGGCCTGGTCAGTCGAAGGGTCCTGTAAAACAACTTCACGTACGTACGAAACAAGTGTAGGAGAACTGTTTGGCGGTATGAGGCCAGTAGAGCAATACGCTGTTCATGAAGCTTCGAAAGCAGTCGTATACAGTAGCCTGTGTCAGTACACAGTCTCACGATGCCAGGGGCTGACTGGGCTCCTCCATGAGAGCTTGTGGCCATGCACCTCTAGCTTGAGAGAGAGAGAAACCAGCGATCATAGCCTCCAATACTATGGTAACAGTCCTAAATCAACAGGATTAAGATCAGCTGATTAAGATCACGTCCTCTCGGACTTAGAGGTATAGGTCGTCAAGCTTCTAGGTGCCTGACCGGTGGAAGGGCTGCCAGAAGCGTGATGTAGTCAGGCTACTGTATAAAGTGGGTCGACCAAACAACAGTTTTGTAATTGTCGATTATCTGGTTATTTGTGATATCAACAGGTCCATTCAAAATGGAGATAAAAGACGTTTCATTTGAATGCAACGAATAAGAGATGGAAAAGATGAATGACAGTTGCATAGGTACGCAGCTTAGTAAGCTATAGTATATGGACACAAAGTTCTTTTAGGTGTGCTTTTGTGTAGAAATGCTGTCACAAAGAACTGTTCAGAGACCCTTACACGATAGCGTGCTTGCTGATTTGTTCAGCGAGTGAATGGAATGCTTTTTATTTTGTTAACGATGCAGATGATGCGCATGCGTGCAAGCGACATACATTTACTGTACTAGTATAGGGGATGGCTTAACCGGAAACTGTCGGGCTTACGTCATTCCACTTCCGTTGTCCAGGTAGTCGACCTTCTTTGGAAACAGTCTACACCAACATTATGTAAAGTTAACTGAATCTTAAGCAACGTTTTAGACAGCCACGAAGTCTTGGGTTAGGCAATGGACACTGGAGACTAGAGACTAATCTGAAATGTTTTTCATTCCGCAAGGTATCAAAGGCAAAAAAATGGCAGAAAATGTGTTTTATTTCGCACGTGAAGACCAGCGAGCTCCACAGTATGTACTACAGTACGTGAACAGTAATAACGTTAATAGTCCATCTGGCACGTGTGATTGATCTAGAGGACGAGTGAACTCAGTACAGCCACCCCGATCCAAAGTACGCGAGAAAAGACACCTGTTACCTTCCCAGGCCCCGAAACGGCCACATATAAAAGACGGCGTCACCAAAACGTTTTTGGGTTGGAGCTTTTCGTATTCTTTATTCGTACATAAATGATAACAACCAATACAAGTAAAATACAACAAGAAGAGTATGCTGGGGGAAGATAGAGACCAATTTGGTCTATCCGAGACCTTCCCCGCAACTAAACTAAAACTGATCAGGAAGACACCTTTTGAAGTTATTGTTTTTATTTAAATATCCAGGGGTAGCATATCGCCAATGGCGATTTTCAACGCTTCCTGGTATTGCGAGTCTTCAATGAATAATGTGAGACTCCGATGGCTGACAGAAAGAGAAAGTGCGTCTTAAAAAGACTTTGAAAGCGTCAAGAAAGGCAGTGAAAACGCGTTATGTTCACATTTCCACAAAATGGAATTTGTTTGCGCACGTATTACACGTCCGGCTGTCTTCCAAGACGAAAGCCCGGATAATAATACAATGGTGAGCGACATTTCCTTTTATTCCTTATATACACGTACGTCATCACACGTTGACATTTAGGTAAATTCCATGACGTCAGGCGTGTGTCACTTTGCAGAATAACAGCCAAGTGACCGACCCCTGACCTTCGGCAAGCACGTACCGCGATAAGGAACATATATAATAGCAGGAAGGTAAATACATCTTACCCCCCGCGAAGTAATAGAAGCCTCCAATAGACTACCGAGCCCTTTGGCCTGCATAGCGCAGACGGTTGCCGCAGACTCTACCTTTTTTTGCTTTCTCACTGCCCTCTCTGGAAAATGCTGGCTCGGAGTCTGCTGTTGCTGCTTCTGGTGGTCAGTTCGGCCACGGCGACGAGACTAAACTCCCTTGATCTTGACCACGACGACATCATCGGTACTTATGACGACATCAAGGACCTGTTCTTCAATCTTGTAAGACACGTTTTGGTACCTTCAACTCAAGGTCGCGACCTTTCTCCTTACATTAGAACTATTGATGCGATAACCAGCTTAATGGTGTAAAGAACACAGTTTTTATATGGTCGATAATTTTAGAATTATGCGTAAAATTTTACATACGTTAACTACTGCGTTATGTCCTGTACTGTAGCTGTACTGTACGTTTTTTCACTGAGGTGGATAACGTGTTTTTTCCAGAGAACTCTAGTTTTAAAAAAAACTCTACAGTAAGATATTTCAGAGTTATGCAGTAACGGTGCCCGTGACTTATCAATAACCGATTCTGTTCCGTTATGTACGTAACTAGCCAAGGTTTAACTAACCTCTTTGGACAAACGTTACGTGGCGTAAACTAGGACACACTGCGGCACATTATTCTACGAAATGCTACGTAGTTAGAGCCTGTTTTTCAGGCGTCCCTGGGTACATCAAAAGTTACAGCCACAAGAAATAAAACAAACTACATTCATGTACATTTTACGAGAATAACGAATACCAGTCCTATATGTCTGTCTGAGTGAGTGTTTTAAAAAAAAGTGCCGTTGTCGATATGCTTATCACCTGTCCCCCCATGCAATATGAATTGTTCCCAAAACTAGTAGACATATCTTATACACAACTGTGCCATTAGGACGAAGGTGAGTCGTGCCTGAGCAGCGTGCAGTGCCAGCCGGAGATGTGCTGTCAGAGAGACACGTTCCTGGTGGGAACCCGGACCTGCAGGCAGTACTCTGACGAGGGCGAGCCTTGCCAAGTTCAAGTACGGCTCTTTTTAAAACGTCTCGCCATGTCTATGAATTTATCCGTAAACGGCGCATAGATTTGCATGGGTTTGACTAATACGTGACTTCTGAGAGCCTTGCCAACTTCAGCAAGTCGTTCGGTGTAGTGTAACCAGCTGCCGCCGCGCCGCGTGCCTGCGAAGCTGGTGTGTCACACCGATGGGCGGTTATATCGACTATACAGATACAGAAAGTACGCTTCAGGCATGACTATTTCTTGTTCGTTTCTTAGCTGATATTAGATACTTAGAGCAAGGACTTGCTTAGAGGCACTGCGCAGCTAATTGAGGGGAGCTGTAGACCGTCTAGCAAGACGACAAGAGCCCAATATTCAATACTGTGGTACGTCCACTAGTTGATTGGTCATATTTTTCACACAGCACCCGTACGACCTGTACTACGCGTGCCCGTGCCAGCCAGGGCTGAGATGCATTGTGCCCAACCCGGGCTCCCTCTCCTCTGTCCTCAACATCGAGATCGGCGTGTGCTCGCAGGGAGGGGACCCCATCGTCACAGGGCGTTGACCCCGGCGTCACCAAGACGGCTCCGCCCCTGTGGCGCGGCCAAAAATGAATAAAAACTCGCCGTGGAATTCTTCACACTTTTCTGACAATGCAAACAAGGGTATGGCATCTGCACAATTAAAATCGCCATTCCCCCATTGCGAATGTTCTTCTTTATTTGTTTATCTACTTGTTAGAATTCTGCACAAGTTTACAGGTGAAAGGGAGGGCAAAACAGGTTGATGTGCTTTGTTGTGTGCATTGTGCAGAATATGTATTATCGTATGGTGTTACCAAGAACCAGGGACCAAGGACATTATATAGCGGGATATAAAATCCTTGGTGTGACCTTTGCATATTGCAGTCTTATCGGATTTTAGCCATACACGTATGTGCTTCTCATTGCACTACAGAATAACTGTTTGAACCATTGAGTTATAATGTCAGGCATTTTTTTCTAAATGTATGTTTGGAAGAAGTAATAAGTGAGTCCTTTCTAAATCTTAATTGGTAGCTGCCCCTGACTGAGTCGAACTACGTGGACTAGAATATAGTTGAATCAATAAAATTATACAAGTGGTTTCACTATAAATAGCTACATGCAGTTTGCAGTGTGCCACAACAACAATGCGCAATTAACAACATCTCCCCCCATGCAGATTGCTTTGCTTGCACAACTGACAGCTGGGAAAATAAACAAGCAAACAAACCGACACGCCTCTAAAGATAGGTGGGAACTCATGCACCTGTTCTGACAGAGTTGTCAACCTCTGCTCTGCTTTATAGAGTTACATAACAACTCATGATGTTACAGGTGTTACTTCTTAGGATTCACACAAGAGTCCAAATCAGTCCAAATCAGAGATCCAGGTCCAGATATGAAATCTTTTATTGGCAATATCAGTAAGTGACAGTGATAAACCATAGCAGCAATACATCCGTATAACTTATGACATGGTAAAAGTGAAAAATCACATCCAAACAGTGTCCGTGCAGAAGAATCCAGTTCTTGAAAAATCCTGGTTAAATGGAATCATCATACGTGCAATTGTTTCTGTTGCAATATGCAGTAATCTGTAATCTGAATATATATATATATATATAAATGAAGACTAACTAAAGGTAGTTTTACATGAATGCTTATATGCA